TAGATACAGTATAACCCTCAGAATAACTCGATGTACATGAAGGCAGTCTCGATAATGGAATCATTGTTTGACTCAACCTTGGAGAATCACATCTCGATGGCCTAGTAATGCAAACAGAATTCGAATCATTTGTCTCTTGAATACTTGGAAGTTTTTCAGTCTTCTACAAGAAAATCGAAAAAGTTATGTAAATAATTATATCGTTAAAAGACGGCGGATATTTCGTAGGAACTGAATATTAGGCACTATGAAACGTCATTTAGCGTATTTTTTTACGTCTAGTGGCTGGATTATTTCTAACTTAAATGAATAATGGTTTACTTCGAAATCAGTATACATATTCTTGAGATGTTCAAGTGGATAACGATGTCGATTAAATTATTCTTCAATTCTATAGAGATATAAAAATTTATGTCACAGTGTTTACTAATCAGTCATAATCAATGTGCAACCAGATACAAATGTTCATCACCTCAAGTTAATAAATCGTTTCAACAGAGACATAAAATTAACAAGATAAATTGCGCGCAAGTCGGAATAAAAGTATCGAAAACGATGACAAGATCAAACATAGAAAATACGGTTCGGAAAGGAATTAAATAAGGAAAAAGCAAAACACAATCTTGAAACCTAAGGAATGGATGGATACGAGCCATCACAATAGACTTATAAGCCATGTCACAAGTTCAGTTACTGTCAGTCTTGCCACAAGATCCCAATATTGGAAATCGGTGAGCGTCATATATGTGTAACGGTATATGCCGGTTCTTCATAAAGCAATTAATGACACAGGAAATGCATGTATGAAAGTAGTTTAAATCTAACAAAATAAGCTCTACAGAAGATCGGGATTCAAACATATACGTGCAACGATAAATACAGTGAGTAGAACGGTTTAAGTTACCACGCTTTGTAACATAATAGATTTAACAAAAGGATAAAAATAGTAGACGGAACAGAAACGACATGCTAAAGGATAGTAAAGACTTTGAGATTTAGAAGAAAGGACGATCCATTTGTTCTACTGCGATATTTTCTAGCAGCTTACAATTACCTACAAGTCCTGTAACAATAGTCAACAATTTCATATGTTAACGAAATTTCTGATCTAGTCAACCTTATATTTAAATCCTAATCGTCATACTATTGTCCATAGTATGAAGCAGATTAGCGTGTATGATACATGCCTCACATCAAGTGTTCCGTCTTTGTGTATGTTTACAATCTCATGTTATTTACCTGTACGAGAAGTCTCAGAACAGCATAGTGGGGTAAATAAAACTACTAACCAAGATAAGTGCCTTTCGATATGTACATGGACACTCCGCTAAATGGGCCGATTCGGAGGGTTTCAAAAAGAGACTAAGCATTTGTATTAAAATTTAGATAGATGAGCATGAGTGTAAACCGATACTTAAACAAAACAATGCAACAATTAAAACTAATGCAAGACGCATACAAATTATATATTTAGCAAGCCTGAGAACAGCGACTAACCTCAAAGGATTCTGTAGATCGGTAGGACTTTACTATGATATCCTTTTTATGTAAAGGAACGTCAGTGACCATTTTGCTGAACTCAAGTGTTTGTGTTGATGATGCGATACGTTTTAGTTCAGGGTATATTGGATCACAAGCCCTATGAACCAATTCTACATTGCTTTCGTATTGTACACCACATGTAGTAAAACTTCGTAAATCCTTTTTTGGGGAGGTACCTTGACTACGTAAGACGGGTGACTCTGTTAGACATCCAGCATTAACACCCAGATGACGTTTTGTCATAGTACACCGACTGTTTAAAACAGGCATGGCCTGGATAAACTCAGAGACCTGTGACTGAAGGGACTGACCGACTAAGTTCGGGTTCGAGACTGTTTTTTCTATTTCATTTAGGATAGGTGAACAACCACGAGATTGGCTGACTATTTGAGATTGAATACCCACGTGACAAACAGACTTTTTAATAATTGACAACAAAGTACTAACAAATTCTTCACGACTCTCATAAAAGCTTCGTATAACCTTGTGTACAATCTTCTTATTTTTGTCTTCCATTTTTGGGAAAACTCGATTCAACCATTCTTTAGTCATCGACTCGGTTTCATAAAAAAGGCAGCCGAATTCGCGTGTTTCCGGTTGTGAACAGAGAACTCCAACTTCCTGAATGGACGGACAAACATTGATACCAACGCACCTAAATTCGGACGATTTCATAGGACAAGCCATAGTAGCTGTGGTGCGTTTATTAGCTTCCGATGACTGCATGGCAATTTTATGAGTAAAAGGTCGTTCCGATAAAAAGCGTTTGTAGAAGTATGACTCCAGTTTAGACCAATATTCCGAAGGAAACTGGCTCTTATCGATCCCGTTATTCAATTTACCAATGTGATTTGGACTAAGAAGGTCATTAGCAACAGGGTCAGTTTTAGGAGCCTTTTTATATGTTCGGACTTCCTCTTCAACAATTTCTTCTACTTCTTCATCAGTGCTATCCATGTGTTCACCGTTTTGAAATCGATGAGACTCTTTAATTTCATCTTTCTCATGAAGGCGTACGTTTTCTTCATACAAGTAACGTAAATTGTCCTGCAGAATAGGAACCTGACTAGCCTCCTCCTCTAAGTTTCTTATTTGTTTGTGCAATTCATTAATTTTTGACTTATAACTTTCCTCAACATTTGTTGATGTATATTCTGGAAGAACTGGAGAATCATTTACCGTTTCATCAATATAGTCAGGTCGGGATTCAGACTGCTCTCCACGTACTGATATACACGTCCCATAAATAAAAAATTCGTCCTTATCTTCGTTATGAAATTCAGGCAAAGTATACATGCCTAGGTTTTTATCTAAAGACTGGTTTACTCTGAATGAGCTATAAGATGTGTTGTTAGAAATAGGAGATATGTCAGGAAATCCATGATCCCAGTCGAAATGTCGTTCAGGATCCTCCATTTGAGAGAACAAATTTCACTATTTAGTTTCACACTAAAGTTATAAAAAAAACTAATTAAAAGTAAATAATGTTGAAAATTGGTCCAATGTATAAAACGTACTGTAAATACTATGACCAGTGAGTGGAGTAGGACTATAATTTGGGGATGAGACACTTAGATTTAAGATGAAGAACCTTGGTTTTTAGCAATGGATTCATTAATCCAAATGGTCAAATAACATTTTGGCACTATAAATTATGTGGGCTTGTGATGAGAAATCATACTTTAATTCCTAATCCTGACCCCTCATACTAACTCATAACCCCTTTTTAAATCAATTCAGCGTCGTTCGAAGGTCGTCCATAAATCACAGGCTTATTCTATTTTGCTGTGTGATTTACTGTTTACGATATTTCTTAACATTTGTATATTTTCGCCTAGACAATGAACATCTATTTTATATAAACCACTTCCAAAACCGTTTGTTACATAAGTGTATTTAAAAGCTTTATATGACAACATACTACTATGGAAGTGTGTTGTTTTCAGACAAAGCATTAATCTGACATTTCTTAGTTTTAATTACCATTGCCATATGTTTATAAATGTCACTAAGCTAACTACAATAACTACACCATCATGTTCCCAACTGTAGTGCCATAATTCATGTTTAAAATTTTTAATTCTACAGTCAAGTTTTTCAATTTTTATAATCCATATCAACTTACACGCGACCTAATTTACACATACGTTATAATATCCCTATGCCACTTGAATTAAACAATTATTTGAACCGTTATCAACATTTTCACTAAACCCATCATAGTCGTTAATACTATAGGTATTCAGACTTATGAGTCGGGTTGTCACAGAATTCGCCCAAAAAGACATTGAACATAGTTCAAATAAAGTCGCCTCATTAAGATATCGCACTATTTATTGATTTCTTTTAACACATAGATATTGGTACAAGGAGGCACAAACTACATATGCGGCACACAGATCTCATTTGATATGTGAGGGCTGTGATACTGCCCAGGTGCCCAAACCGAAGCAGGTGGTTTTCTAAGGGGGGCACACCTGGTATATAGCACTGCACTGGTATAATAAAAATATCACATGGTAGTCAGTCAAAAAAGCAACCAGAATAAACTTCAGTCTACTAATAAGACTAATACTAAGTAGACGAATATTTCTGGACCTAAGTTTGGATTACAATCTGGCAGTTCAAACTCGTTAATTCTACAAACTTCTGATATTAACGAGTAATCTAAAACAACAGAAGGCGATTGCATTTCCATGAACTGTCTGGAAATCTTAGTCACATCCTTGAGACAACCTTTTTCGTGAAACATGGCGAAATGCTTGCACGACAATATAACAGGAGGTTGGTAAGTGACTGTGAAAATTATCACAACTTTGAATGAAAAAAACCTACAAATATGTGAATTGGTAAATGCCGCCATACTTCTAGGTAGAATTAGAGGTATCCTAGAAAGTACATGAAAATAACCGAAAATCAAAGTCATGATAGCCTGCTACAGATTCACTCGGACAAAGTACTGTTAAAAGTATTTGCGAAAAAATCTCACAAATGAAACAGAAACTACTTAAGAAGCTGAACGTAAACTTCTACCACGTACGAGCCACATATACAAACTTTGTTTAAAGTCAAAAACTAAGCCAACTGTAATTCAATAGTGTAAATCGCTGAAAAAGAATGTTTTGGTTTCTCAAATAATAAACACAGTAACTAGACACACAGTACGTTTAGTGTCTTCATGAATAATTAGTACGCGATAAATTCACGTAGAGACAAATATATTGTCATCCTAAAAATATCTGACCTTTCACGTTTTATCCAAACACTACAACAAAACGATCGAACCTACAATTCATCCCAAGTGCCCGCTAGCAAGAATCTGTATAACGGACACATTTTAACTTAAATAAACACATTTTCCCTAATGTCGCTAAAAACATGATTGATGAAAGTATTTATCGATATATAGTACTTTTTTCTCAGTCTTCAAAAATACCAGCACAACTATGATAACCTCAAAATTATTCAGTCCACAAAAACACCAATTTTGCGCTTCATTCGAAAGTGTAGGAAAGCTTAGAAAATATGACCATAGAATCTAATAAAATGAAAGATGTTTTGTTGCTTCAGATGACTTCAAAGTATGAAGACCCACGCCTATGGATAGACAACTACCTAGCAAACCCATCAGTTTCTGAAACGGAAGTTAATCACCTGAGATCTGTGATGCAAAGGGATCAAGCACTCAAGAAGGCAGATAGCGAGAGAATCTAGTGAGTTTCGAACAACCTTTGTGTATTCGCATGACAATGAAAAAGTTTTTACATGTACGAAATGGTCTGAAGTAGTTTTCCTTTGCATGAGTTATATTGTTAGCTGCTATAATGTATTATGATAATTTCAAAATCCATTCAGCATACTATGCAGTCCGTCAACCTAACTTATAGCTCATTTTTTACTTTTTACGACAATTTTCTTCCTGTTCTGTCTACCAATAATCAATTATTAAAAAATGACTAATACAGTAACAAATAAAGACAGTAACTTGAATTTTGAGGTACAAACTAACAGCAAAATAGCCTGAGATGATATGAGGCGCACTCATGTTGTTAAGAAATACTTCCGAATTACTAATGAAACGACGTGATCATACATACATTGACTTTAGATGTAGTTATTCACTAAAGTACACTATTAAATCTTTAATATGAAGGGCTATTAGCGATACAAGATTTCGTCAAATTGCCTATCCTTATGCATCTCTACCAAGCAAGACTAAAGCTTACTACCTTCAAACAGGCAGGGTAGTCTTTTTTACAATGATTACTCTTCGGTTATCATTCTCTTCTAGAACAATTTATTTTTGCGATAGTGGAACATGATAAACACGTTGATATAAAATGTGATTCAAGAAAATATTTAGAAGCTGTTTCACATTAGTTTACAATTATGTTTGTTTGAACTTCTATAAAGATTGTCGACGATAACTCATTCGCCTTCATAGCGTCGAATAGGATAGTTGAAAAGAGCAGAGCGATACGTGGATCTGATCGTACTGTGAAAATCCTGATACAGAAATCTCCAACCATGCTGTTTTCTCAACCAAAAAGTAGCTCACTACTGACAAATGGACATTTATAAATAGTACTATAGGAAAGTCACATGTCGCCTATCTTATAAGGAATGTAGGTCTAATTCCGCTTGAATCAGCGAATGCATACGGACCTCAGTGTTTCAATATCTCTTTGGTTTTAGATGTTCTCTAATCATAATTCTCAGGCCATATGATTGTGAAAAGATTTATAGCTCAGCGGGTTGATTATGGTTCAGTTCCATCTTCTGAACAAGAAAATTTGATCGTGGAGCTATCAATGCTCTTCTGAACAGCATCAGTTCAAAATTCAGTTGGAAGTATATTATTCGACATTTTCCGCATACGAATAACAGACTGTCCAGTAATGCTTCTGTGTCAGTTTCGGTGATCAAGACATTCAATAATGATTTTTTATTGTTCGTGCCCTGTTCCATTCCAAAATTCTTGTCACTGAGGGCGTTGCTCACCACATCGTGGTTGTTTTCTAGCTTGTCCTCTTTGACAAGAAATGTGCCGTGTTCATAACAGATTCACAATTTTAGCTTGGTCTCTGGAAGAATCAAGGCTTCCAGTGTCTACATCACCGCTTATGCAATCAGCCTTAATATTGATTGCCCTACTGGTGCTCCTTTTCGACAGTTGATTTGACAGGTTGACAACACAACTGCTTCTGTTTTCTTCTGTGCATAATTCTTAAATCCTTATTGGTTTTTCTTTGATAGTGTTTCATCTTTGTTCCTCGTGTCATCTGCTTGATAACTCATTTGCCGTTGTCAAATGTTTTGATGTAATTATTTTCTCCATGTTGCCGTTTTAACTATCCACATTATGTTGGTATTTGCTGATCCTGTAGTGTTAAGGCTGCTATTGTTGTCGAAAGATGGAGATATTTTAGGTTGCGAGTAATGAGGTCGGATCAGTAACTTGGCGAACTTTTTGTCAATCCTATGCATGATGAAGTACACAGAATTTGTTTCTCAGTCATTATCCATATAGAAGAAACGAAGAAATTTGAAGTTGTCTAACAATCAAACATAAGGAGAATTTGTAGGATCAGTGATATGTCACAGAGCCGTAGCCAAATCATCTGGTAGATGAGTCACTGAATATCGAACAGATCATCGATTCTCGTCAAGGTCAATGATGACAAACGCTCATCAGTTAATCGTATGCCATGAACTGGCCCATTCGAGGGTCTCACTATCTTTACTGTACTCATTCTTACTAATGGATTTCCGCAGTAACGCCCTATGTGATGAACGGTTTTCCGTTTGCCGACTGTAAGTTTAAAACCAGTGTGTGCAATCGGTCTCTGGGATTCGCTGCAAGAACTCTAACTTCGGCGCCAGTATCAATGAGGTAGCGAACTTTCGTGGTCACATCAGTGACTTATAACAGACGGCTGTGCTCAGCGGCTAAGGTTGCCGTTAACGCGTGCCAGCTGGGAAGTTTACCGAAACGTTCTTCATATCGGTCGGTCTGAACTTTGCAACAGTGCAATTCCGAGCAGATTTTCCGTACTGATTATGACAACAGGATCAGTCAATGTTATCTGTCTCTCGTCGTCTAGAGACAGATAGCTTTCGTGAAAAACTCCTTTGAAGGGTTTGTGGTCGTTTGCGGTCATTACGAATCCGTAGGTTACGTGTCAGCGTACGACAGAGTCCGGTAATGTCATTCCGTGTCGTTTGAGTTTTTTCTTTGATTGAAAAACCCTCAGTGTTAGAAGACTTGGTGATCTCTAAAATACGACCGGCAGATGCAACCAACTCGTCTACGGCGTCGTTTTGCAATGACACACACTGCTTGCATCTGTTGAAGAAGTTTAGACAAGAAAATATGTCTAGACAGACCATTATATAATGTGAAGCTGTCGGCAATTTAAAAAGGGCCAAAACGGGAGGAATTTCAGTGATGCACCCCAGTTGAATTGATAAAATACGATATTTTCTGTAAAATAACGATGAAAGCTGTACAGGTCAATATAGATGTGCGTTGCTGAATGAACAAATCTAACTACAAAGGATTTATAATATTCCGGAACAATGCCTTTTGTGTTAGGTAAGGTCATTGTTACAAGAACAATCACGTAAGATCTGCTAGGTACGGTCATCTATTAAACATAAAGAATGTGCAATAATTACTTAGCAACATGAGAATATTGACCCATTGCAGAAAAGCCTAAACATCACCAATTAAATAACTTGAAACTGAGCTATTAACTGTTCAAAACAATAAACCTTAGCAACAACTGAGGAACCAAACACCTCTCCCTCCAGCAACACAATCAATTGAATCAATCATGATCTATCAGAAACGCGACCGCTTAATATGACAGTAGCCGGAACTTAACATGTTGGGTCAAACAAGAGTGAAACCGTGGTTTATACCTCAATAGTGTCTAAGAGTTGACCACGTCTCAGTGGTTATAAACAGTACGGTGATGATAATTGCATGTAAGCCAAAAGAAATGTGGAATATACGTATATACAGAGAACGACAGAAGAGATGAGACATATGAAGAAAAAACAGGGTAATAGTCACAGGGAAAAATAAATATTTCAGGATTCTTCCCCACGCCGCAAATCGACTCTATGAGGGACGCTCCCAACGCATCCGTACTTTGCAAAACGACAATGTCTTACACGCTACGTATAGCTTTCATATATTGAATAAATTGAAATTACAAGGGTGAAAAGATCTTTAAAACTAAAAATTCAGAATCCTAAAATGCAAAGCTTACATTTGTGTATTCACATCTCAAAGTTATAGGAATTATTGCACGTAACCAATAATAATAAAAGCAAAACACTATATATTTTACATCCAACTATGAGTGGATTCGTAACTTTCTACAACCAAGACCGGATAAATTTCACCAAAACCAAAGATTCCCAGAAATGATATTATTACTTTCCGTCACATACTTTGATAAGCATCAAACCTTGGTAGTTCACTGTATCATAGAAGTATCATAATAATTCAAATTTCAAGCAAACTTCTTTCGGTGCATTAGCTAAACCAAAATATTGATGTCTTTAGGAGTACTAAGGCTTCCTAATATTCTTAAGACTGATTGCAAGGAAGAACATATGTGATCACAATAAATCGTATTATTCAGACAACCAAAAGCTACCTGGGTACAATAACAGTAAATTGTACAATTGATAGAGAGCAAACACCAAATGCCATGAGATCTATAAATTATAAAGTTTAAGAATAAAAGTCGATCCACTTCTTAGCGTGTGACTCATTACCCTGTAACAAATTAGTTACCAAAACCGCTGGTAACATTATGGCACACCATATAACACGATTTTGAAAGAACCTAAAAGTATCAATTGGAAATACACCCTCTTCCTTGAAAGCCAACCATGTTAGATTCAACAAACTAAGGTAAATTAAGATGAACAAATGAACACCTGTAGGATTTCCCGGTCCTACTGTTTTAATATATTTCTCTCATCCAGTTTTTACCCGGTATAGGAGTCACACTCAAAGTTAAAAATACTATTTCTCCAGTTACTTGTATTTTGTTCATCCACCTGCTGATATTGAAGAACTATGTTTTGAGGCATTTGGTAATAGTGTTGCTTGGATTTCTCTTGACAGGTCACCATTCCTTTCATTTATTTTTTTTCCATTTATTTTCATATCAAAAGTCTGAGTTCATAGAAGTTCGTTAAAATTTATCGTTTTACCAAATACTCTACTTGTATTGTCTGATAAAATTTGGTTGTGTTGTAGATGAAAATTCTCGTTTAGTTCTGTTTAGTTTTAATAAAACCTAATCCATATCGCGGTTGACTAGAGGAAACACGTATATTAATCAAATCAATTTAGAACTAAACACAATATCATATTTATGTAACAACTATAATCCACAACATTTGTACGCATCTGCCCGTAAGTACGATAAAAACCGACATATATCTAACTAATAATATTAACTGATGTAGACATAGCTTAAGAAGCTTATTTTCGGAATAACGTGAAAAAAATTCAATGATTTCCACAACTGCTTTATAGTTGAACAGGATAGACAGGAAGTGGAAATATCTAAACATTGTGTATAAAATCTTCAGTGATGTAAACCGGTGTGCGTGTGTGCACTATGAATTAGGCAAAGACATTATTGGTTTCCATTCACTGATCAGTTAGCGTAAAATTCATCCCTAACCAGTTTCCAGTTCATATTTTGTCTAAATTTAATGAGAAGTTAGGTATTATTTAATGTAGAAAACGGACAAAATTAACTTTCTAAATGTTTACAAAATTAATTGCCTTGACAAGATTAATAAGTATATTTTTATTTAGAAAGTATGATAAAGAATTTTTTTCACGATTTTCAGTGACTTAGTTGGATCATTTCCTTCTAAACTACAACCTGAAATTCTACTCAGTAATATGAACCAATTGCGTAATAAAATCCCAGCAGTTCCTGGTAGTGGCTTTGTTTCAACTTACACGACAATTATTCAATCTAATGATATAAATCCAGTTGAAGATGAGGATTACATGTCACATTTAGAATATATTCACAAACGCAGATCATATGCAACATTACAGTTACGTAGATTTACATCCAAATTCTCAAAGTTATGTCCAATCTGTTTACATCAATTTAATTCATTAACAGAAACGTATCGATGTATTAAGTGTATTCGTAATGTTTGTCAAAATTGTGCATGCAAAATATCATTGTCAAATTCGAATATTTTATGTAAAGAGTGTTGGGAAATTGCGTAGGTCTTTAATTATTTATTACAAAATTTATAATTAATTATTTAAATATTCATTGGCTAATGAAAGGGTTGTTTTTTTCCCGATGGATTTTAAAAACTAATTCATTATCAGAAAAGGTTTCGTGGAGACTTTTAGAAATTTCAATAGTTGAAATCATGAGTCAATTAAAGCTAGATCACCACGAAAAACCTAGAAGAACTGGACGGTCGTTTCGTCCTAGTATGGGACTCTTCAGCAGTGCGCATCCACGACCCTGCCCCTCGCGAAATTCAAAATCAGGACCTATCAGTCTTAAAGAATAGACCACTGAGCCGGCATCCAAAGGTGTGAATGTCTAATTTCAACCGATCCATCAAGTTGCGCTATCGTACACTGACTTCAAGAGGCATTTCTTGGAGTTCTAGTGTGAAGCCGTGACCAGCGGAGTCCAACCAGATCTCTTGTGAGATATCAACTCACTGAAGACAATTGATTCGAATCTCGCGAGAGGTGGAATAGTGGATGCACACTGCTGAAGAGTCCCGCACTAGGACGAAACGGCCATCCAGTTCTTCCAGATTTTCCTTGGTGGTCTAGTTTCAATTGACTCATGATTTCAACCATTGAAACTAATTAATTATTTAGCTGAAAAATTATTTCTAGTCTAATATTCGTGTTTATTTATTTATTTTTAACAAATTACTGTAATATATTACTCATAGATAACTACTACTGAGTGAAATATAGATTTACTATATTTCTCGTACAAACAGATGTATGTAGCTGCATTATTGAATAGAAATATTTAGCGAGTTCAGCATAAATGTGTAAAGATGTTTAAGTATCTGCAAATGCCTTTTATGCAATATGTAATAATAAATATTATATATGCTAACAAGTAAAGTTCATTATATTATACTAAGTGATCATCACAAAGAGATCTTAGCAATTTTGAAAACATTTAATTCAGGATCTTAGCCAAACGTGTTACAATAAACGTGTTCGGTCACAGTTATTTAAATAATCAGTTAATGGTTAACAGAATGAACTAAAATGATCAGGTGATTATTTACTCAAATAACTGATCGATATTCAGACGGAGATATAATGAAAAATTATTATAAAGTATTAAAATACTGTCTTTAGCAATAAAACGAATCATCAATGTCCATTCAATTTTGACGAGCCCCTCTGAGGCTAGTGCTGGTCCCAAGCCTGGATAAAGGAAGAGGGTAGGGCATAGGCTTACCGACCCCATCCCGTAGAAAACTAACTCGCTAAAAGAACGCCAACCAGAAAAAATAATTCAAACCATTTAAACTCTCCCCTGGGCGTTAGAAGGTCTTTATTTAGAAGAGTTATGATGCCTCATGATGAAAGACGAGTTCCTTAGAAAGTCACCAGGCTGACGCTCTTTCTGACATACAGAGCAACCGTTAATTTAGTTATATGGAATATTCGTACAATGTGGGAGACTGGGATAGTCATCCAAATTGCTGCAGAAATGAAAAGATACAACCTAGAAGGCGGTGCTTGGAAAAAATGTTTTGACTTATAAAAAACATTTAAAGATAAGAATGATATTTTACGACATGTTATAATGAACCAGATTTAGGACTTAAGTAAAATATCGCTTCTTATTAAATGGTATATAAAGTTAGCTGACAAATAATAAATATGCAAGAAGTTTAATATTTATGAACAGCAAAGATCCTCGAATGTTTAAAAATTTCATTTTGTTAATCTGAAGCATTTACATTACTATTTTTACCCCTTACTTACATGAGTTAGTTCTTTTAATTTACTTAATTACTTACGCCTGTTACTCCTCGTGAACGAGAACAGGCCGACCACCAACATTCTCCATCCAACGCTGTCCTGTGCAATTCTCTCCAGTTCTTTTCAGTTTTTACTCATCATTTTCATGTCTGCTTCCAATTCTCGGTGCAATGTGTTCATTGACCTTCCTGTTTTCTGTTTCCCTTCACGATTCCAAGTTAGTGCTTATCTCGTGATGCAGTTTGATGATTTCCGTAATGTATGTCCTATAAACCCACAGTAGCTTGCTGATGACGATATCCAGTCAACAGACATTGAGTATCTTACGTAGATAACTGTTTATAAAAATGCTTATACATTTTTGATTATGGTTGTAGCAGTTCTCCACTTTTCGGCTCCGTATAGTAGAACTGTCTTGACGTTTGTAATAATGATTCTGTATTTGATGTTGATTGACAATTGTTTTGAGTCGCATATGTTCTTCAGAAGTAGGAACACTGTACTTGCTTTACCATTCGTCGTCTTAACGTCTGCATCAGATCCTCCACGTGAAACTTTTCACCTCTTCTAGAGTTTCTCCATTACGTGTGATTGGGTTTTTTAAAGTTTACTCACATACCAAAATCACATTTTCCTGTACATTTTTCAAATTACATTCATCGATGAAAGCTCTACGACCAAACCATCTAGCTCAGAGAACAAAACTCCATCAAAATCATCCACCTGAGCTACAAATCTTCTCCACCATCTCAAAATCATATGAAATTAAACTATTCAAAAGATCTAAATTAATTATTGATCACAATCAAAACAGACAATTCATGATTTTGTAATGAGAAAATTAGTATTGTTAGACAACTGAAATGAACTCTCAACAGTATGATAAATTTGAAATGATTTTATAATGTAGTAAACTTATTAAACGCTATACCCAAGTCAATAATAAATTTGAATAACAGTCTGTAACTGATTACTATGATATCATATACAAAACTGGTTTCCTTAATTACAGGACGCTTTTAAATTTGGTTTGATATATAAAGATGATGCCTTAAATGTATGATCCTTGTTTTAAAAACTAGAGGTAAAAAAATATGGTAAATATTTCCACGTCGTTCTGTCAATATTTATCGGGTATTAAAACTATTATGCGAATTAGGGATATTTATGGATATATCTGTAAAATCCATAATACGTTTTTCAAAATGATTTAGTTCTTCGATCGGTAACTGCATCACACCCGGCATGTTTGAACTTCATTAATCACGATTGCTCACTAGGACTCTGGGAAATTCCTCTTGTAGCTAGTCATTAGTGAGCACATGATAAGTGTTAGCATAGGGTTCAGGACTTCAATGAGATTTAACACTCTCCAAAACCCTACACTTACAATTATCGTGTACCCACTCGTGGACAACTTCAAGAGAAAATTCCGGAAGCTCTAATGAGAAGACGTCACTTGCAGAGGAAACCATGCCCAGAATGATATATTTGTTTTAAACCCATACGGCACAACCTTTGCATCTTGTTTCAACTCTTGTTGGTTAACATGTCCAGCAGATCAAACAAGGGAATACACAGTCGTATGGCTGTTCAAACGTGACCGTCTATCAGTAACAGCAGTCCTCATAAACCTGTACACACAGAACTCTAAATACATACAATATTTAATTGATTTTCGACAAGGAAATTGTGTAAACAGTCTGTCTTTCTCTTCTATGGAATTTGTATGACCAGGAGCTAAATATTTTAATAAATGTTTATGTTCAGAGTTCGGCATTAATAAGAGTGAAAAAAATTTCAGCTAAGAAACATTCTCAATGTTTAACCTTCTTAATTAAGTTATACGGTCCTTCGGAAATGGATATTAACAGTCATATTCCATCAATCATTTCTTCTACTCATTAAATAAATTACATCAACAGACAAGTCTTGTCAATTTTTGTTACTAGCACTCTAAATGATCCAAAACGTGAAATTTACTGGTCATAAGTGTTTAAAAATGTAAAAATTCACCAATACATATCCTGACATTTTCAGCTATGGGTGATTGCACATAACACACCGAAGAATCTACAATCTCCATATATATGTTGAACATATGGATTGCTATAAATTTAAAAAAATGTAATTACGTAAAAAATAACAATGAATAAATATATCTAACAGTATGATGACTTTGTGATGATGATTATCGTTTGTTGACAAAATGAATTGGCTATAGTTAGAAATCAATGAAAGCAAGGAAGTATTTAACAGCTGTATAACCATAGAACAGAAGTCTCATAATAGAACTCAACAATTTTCCAGTGTTTCTTCTTCCTTTTTATTGGTTGTCTAACAAAGTTCATATTGTGATGTAAGTGAAAAATATAACTAATGCAGTATGAATTATTATGACTGAATAGAATGGTACATTATTTTCTCATTAAATCAGATGATAAATTAATACAATACAATAATGTGTTACAAATATTTTTTTAAAAAAGTAATGATTTTCACTAGTAAATTACCTCAATTGGGTCACATGTTAATCAAAAAGATTTTGTAAAAGCATAATAGTTTAAATCAATAAATCATCATTATTTTTGTTCTGTACTTTTGAAATATGCTATAGTAACTGAATTCAATAATTTAATCCATTTGACTTTTACAAATAAAACAGACTGTACTGTTCCATCAAAATTGATTAACATGAAATAAACAAATATAAATTTGTACTGTATTTGTGTTATAAATTCTGGCCGCCGATTAAAGAGCAGTGAATTATCAATCGGATCAATGACGCGTAAACGCGTATGAGCAGCCTAGATTTCTGATTGGTCCTGCTTCTCGCCTAGCCCAGCCAGCTTAGTCCAGAACGCAAGTCTCAGCCTGTGCAATATGAATCATTATATTTCAAACATACTGAGTTTATATACCAATCAAGCAGACCACAACGTACCAATAAAATATGAAACAACATTTGTACAATAATTAACGAGATGTGGCTGTGAATGAGGGAGGTAGTAATTAATATACTGGGTATAACTTAAGAATGGTAAATCGTATAATAATAGTTTATGGGTCAAAATAAAGCTTATAGTAAGAAGAACATGAATATGAATAGTTTAGTTATTTAACAATTATACGGTAAAAATATACGTTTAGTATTGGTCCATAAAAGGATCCCACAGTTACCATTCATTATGTTTATCGGGACCTAACAGTTTGTGAATACAAACGATAATGTATGATGATA